CCTGTAACGGCCCGTCCACACGGCAGCGTGCGTTGCTTCAACAGAGACGCTTCCCATTCACTTTGAATGGGGTGACGTCACGCTTCGCCGAACTGCATTGTGGTTCCGTGGCTTCGCGTTGCTCTCTTCGAAAGTTGAGAAAAGTTCAACTTTTGAAGCTTCGACGGAAGCGTCAGCCAATCAAATCATATGCCAGTGCAAGCTGTAGTTAATCAAACCGCGTGCTTGTGTGTCCGGGGCGGGAGATTAATGTGATTGGTTATCGGTCACACGCCAGACACGCCCACCAGCCAGCTTCAACGCACGCTGCCGTGTGGACGTACCGTAACGCAGAAGTTTTATCGGCCGCCTTACATGTACCCCATTTGCCAGTATGATTGCTGTTAAAATAAAGCATTAAACACGAGTAGATAAAAGGCCTATGTGATATGTAGTAATCGAATACGACTTGTTGACCATTTTTGATTTCTTAAAACCTTTAGAAATAACGATTTTTGATAAACAGTCATTATATCCACATGAGTGATGATTGAGAGGGCAAAAGAAAAGACAGAAAATGTACATTCAAACATCAAAATAACACTTAGACGTAACACTTATCCAATGTTACCATTGTACTGTATACAAAATAGAAGATGGCAAATATGAGATCAAGTCTCTATTTTGGCATTTTGACACACACACACACACACACACACACACACACACACACACACACACACACACACACACACACCATTACACCTTATGAACATATAAAGACACACACATGCAGAGATGTGATTGGACGCTGCAGGAGATTTACTTCCACACAAATGCAGGCTGATTTCTGCATGAGACGCTTTTACACGCATGGATTTTCTGAAAGATTATTACTGTGACCCCCCCCCCCTTTGCATGAGATGAGGTTTTTGGAAAGATTACAATATTATAAAACAGTTTCAACGTATCTAGAAATCCACCATCATATAACCGATCACATAACCATTTATCCCAACTCTAAACAACCTTCTTTCTTTAACGTTCTTCTAAGTTGAGCTTAACCTAAATATGCTTCTTCTGAAATGTCACTTTTGAGCTTATGCTGTTTTTCCCCTTCTCTAAATCCTAGTATTTAAATCTTACAATCAAGCAGGGATCAATAAAGTTTTAGGAGTGAAATCCACTTCCTTTCCCTCTCCATGCATCCCTTTTGTCTTCGATGATAAGATAAGAAGTACTTTATTGATTCCAACTTGGGACATGTTTGCATTACAGCATCATAAAAAGACAAGGCTTTTCATTGTGGAAAGTCAGAATTGTTATTGTACAATGTGTATTTAATATCAGCGTTTCCGCTAGGGGGGCGTCTTGCCGTCATGTGACGCTCTTATTCAGCTCGGAACGCCCTGAACTCGAGCCGAGGGCGTCCAAAAAAATACATAATTCGAGAGAAGATCGAGAGTTTTTATCGCTTGAAATGACGAAAAGGAAAAAGGACAAGGACGTCCCTCTGTTGGAGGGGCAACGGAGTCTGGTGGGATTATTTTCGCCGCCAGCAAAGCGCGTTCCTGTGACGAAAACAAACAAACACTGGACAGGAAAAAAACAACAATTAAATAGGTACATATCATTAACAAATTAATTGTTCCTCAAAAAATACCTACGAACATCTTCCAAGGACCATGCCAGGAGGGGTGTCCCTGTAAACCACGTAAAGAGATAGTATAAGGGACGGCACAATTCAAAAGTGTGTGTGTGTGCATATGTAAAGAGATAGTATCTATAAGGGATAGCCCCCCCCCACCAGCCCTGGTCTGGCGGAAACACTGATCAGTATATTAAACATCACTTTATTTTTGTAGATATACCTCAATATCAATATTACAACCCCATAGAAGGGTTAACCATTTCTGCGTTCATAACATATGAACCTGAACGTTGATCAATAATCATCAGTAATGTGGATATAATGACTTGAAACAAAGAATTACATACAAACATCACATTTATGACATATTTTGATATATTGTACGACATTTAAGACAATATTTGATTTCGTAGCGCAACATCGATATAACATGTATTAATTCCCCATTACCCCTAGATTCCACCGGGTCCGTCTGCGTCGCGTTACGACATGAATCAAAGATGTGTTGCTGTATTTTAGTGGTAAAAAAATGCATTCATAATTATTCTATATATATTTACACAGTGCCTGTAAACCGGAGGAGAACGCTGGCATTTCTCCTCCTACTTGAAAGACTACGGAGGGATAGGGTCTGCAAAATTAGTTTATTTTGGGGATGGGCCGGATGCTCTGACCGGTCCACTTCCTGCCCGGCGCCTCTGCAACGCGTCGAAAAATAGACTTCAATCCTATTTCGAGCGGAGCCCAGCGGGGAGACGCTTCTGGGACGCTTCTGAGCCGTAACCCAGCCGTCTGGTGGAATAGGACCCATTGACTACAGTGGCCGCGAGCTTTGCGAACGCCGGGGCGCGGCCGTAATGCGACCCGGTGGAATCTAGGGGTAGTGTACGGTTAAAACAGAAAATATGCTCAGAATGCCAGAATGTTTTCTTGTATATTATGATTTTAAAGTAGTAACAACTTAAAGAACAAGGAGGGTTTTTATTTGTTGTTTTTTTTTGCTATAGGCATTTGTACAATTAAAATTAAAAGACTAAAAAGGAACATTCCAAACTGTAAACTTCTCAAATTGAAATAAAATAGCGTTAAAAAAAGTAGATTGCATTAGACGTTGTTCACCTGCAGTAATTCATCACGCTTTGCTAAATCCCTGTAAACCTGTCGTTGAGGGAGGAGGCTAACGGCTTTAGCGGTGTGGAGCTGAGAGGCTAATGGCACGTTAGCACGGGTTAAATCCGTATTATCCTCTGGTGGAGGAGAGGGAGGGGAAAGTGGGACTGAACCAGGGCTTCCCTCCCTCGCTTCTAATCCAATCACAGCTGCTGTCGGCCGCGATGTAACTCAAGGTCAGAGCCTGCAGAGCGAGAGCGGCGTTACGTCATCAACCTGCAACGCTTCTGCAGCTACAACATGCACTAAGACACGGTCAGAAGCAACAGGAACACATCTCCATCTCTGCAGGGTGATAACACATCCGATACATCAGACAAGAGAATGAACCGTCATAATGCAAAGAAGCAATTTGTGCATTGCCTTGTTCACGTTTTGAAGGACGTGGTGAGAGACACAGTAAGAAACAGCAGGGACATATTTGAATCTCTGCAAATAATAGTACAGATCTTTGTTTATGGAGCACTTCCGAGTTACACGGTGCTTCACAGAGACATTGAAGACGTCTTCAAATCAGTGATGGGGAGGTATTTAGATCGTTTTTAGTAAAAGTAGCAAAACAGCAAGGGAGAAATACTCCTTTTCAAGTCCAAGTTATGTTAGATATTAGGGGTGTAACGGTACACGTACCCGTACTGAAATTATTCGGTACGGGCCCTTCGGTTCGGTACACGTGTGTACCAAAGTGTACCGAATGAATATAACCTTAAACGTAAAAAATTGAGAACGTGAACAACTTTTTGGAAGTAATCTCAGGTGCTTATGTTGCCATGTTAGCAAAGCGCTTCCTGGCTGTGTCTGCTACCTCTGTCCCTAGAGAGGGTGTTCTCCACAGCAGGAGACATTGTTAGTGCCAGCAGATCTGCCTTTCAGCAAGCAATGTGGACAAGTTCATCTTTCTTTAAAAAAACATGAAAATTCATAACGTCAAACTGGCTGCTTAGGTATTAGTACAGTACAGTTCAAATACAGATTATTTCAGTTCATCGAAATGCTGCACCTTAATGTTTATTTTATTATGTTTTGTATTTATTTGAGTGAATACATCATTCACACTTTAATCATTAAAAAAATATATATATGTTTTGTTTTGTGAAAAAAATTCTGCTGTACCGAACCGAACCGTGACCAAAAGACCGAGTTAAGTACCGAACCGAAATGTTTATGAACCGTTACACCCCTATTAGATATGCAATCTGCAACCCTTCTGCCGCTACAACATGGTGTAACGGTTCATAAACATTTCGGTTCGGTACTTAACTCGGTCTTTTGGTCACGGNTAATGAGATAGCTAAGTCAATATAATGAGATATTAAGTCAATATGAGATAACTAAGTCAATATAATGAGATATTAAGTCAATATGAGATAACTAAGTCAATATAATGAGATATTAAGTCAATATAATGAGATATTAAGTCAATATGAGATAACTAAGTCAATATAATGAGATATTAAGTCAATATAATGAGATAGCTAAGTCAATATAGTGAGATAACTAAGTCAATATAATGAGATATTAAGTCAATATAATGAGATAACTAAGTCAATATAATGAGATATTAAGTCAATATAATGAGATAGCTAAATCAATATAATGAGATAGTAAGTCAATATAATGAGATAGTAAGTCAATATAATGAGATAACTAAGTCAATATAATGAGATATTAAGTCAATATAGCTAAGTCATTATAATGAGATAGTTAAGTCATTATAATGAGATAGAAATTCATTATAATTAGATAGCTAAGTCATTATAATGATTACAGGATTTTTTAAATGTTTTTCCTGTGGCGCAAACAGGCTTCCATAGAATGTGTAAAGAAACGGAATAGTTGCCTACTTGATTTTCCATTTCCGTCATAGACTTTCACAATAAAAGTCTTAAATGATCAGAGGTTTAATAAATATACACCGTGGCAACACAACGGGGATTAATCATAGACTGTATGATTAATGCGTGTGGCAAACGTAACATGGCCTCGTTAGTGATGGGTGCTTGCTTTGAACTTGTTTCCGGTATATTACTTGCTTTGAACGGGTGTGTTTCCAGTGTAGCAGCAACGTGCCCACGTTAAACTCAGACTCCCATCAACCACTGCGAGCATTATTTACATTGGTAACCATCTGCTTTCTTCGGACTGCTAGCCGGCTACAGTTAAATTAAAGTTATTAAAGTGTTGAGCAGACATTGAACCTGATGCTTGCTGTGCTCGAGCGGGCTGTCTCTGCTCTGCTGCTAAATATAGGTCACATGCTGTCTGACTACACCTCTATGGATTTGCTGACAGGCGAATCTCACTTCCTCTCTTTTACGGGACAGGTCTCATCTTCACAGTGCCAGCAAGGGAGATCAAGCGATTTGACTATCATGTGCTGAAGTCAGATCAGTGTGTTGTGAGCATAGACTGTGAGCTGTGTGTGACAGAAGCAGACATGAAGGCTGGAGAGAGGTTTGTGGACAGAGCTGCAGTTACCTGCATCGTAACGCTGTGTCTCGGCTGTCTGCATGTGATCGCCCTCAAACAACAACTTTTCTCCAGGCGTGGGGGCTTATCTTCCTCTACTGAGAGCCCCATCAGCTATGAAACACTTTACTTTGACCAAAAGGTGAGTTCAAAATATATATATATATTTTTTTTAAACTCACAATCTGTTCTTTGAAAACTATGTGCAGTATGTTTCACAAAGCAAACACAAAGCAGTTTCTTCCTCTTTCACTTGTTTCTGTTTTACTTCATCTTTAAAGATTTGGTGTGTTTTCTATAGTAGCCTTTAAACTAGGTTGCATTTAGTAGTGTGGTGTGGATAAAGTGTAATTATAATTAGTACAAATAATCCCTATATTTTGTCTGAATGAAAAAACAAATAGTAATCATGCTAGTGTTTTATTGTCAATATGGATATAAACAAAAACAAAAAAATAAATAATATTTTATAATTACTGGCTTATTAAAGTTTGCTTACTACTTTATTTACCACTACTTGGGGTCATTGTTTACTGTTTACTCCTTTATGTAACACTTTCTTTTTCTAAAATCTTAATCCAGTAGAAGTTTTTCATGTGTTGTTTCGGTAGACAATAGCTGTTTTACTCTGGCTTCCTGTAGTGAAGGGAAAACCCACTATTGGCTCTGTTCCTGCCGGCGGAACTGCACCCCCCCCCTTGGCTCCCTGCCTTAAAAAAGGTCTCCGGGGCCCACTGAATGTGAAACACTTCACCTGAGGGGGCTTTGAGAGATCTTCATTCAGCCTTTACATTTACATACTGTTACTTCATGGAGAATCAGGTAGCACGCAGAGTGTATGCTGAGGTGGCAGCATCATGTTTTGTGACATGGGACCCTGACTCATACAGTCTGACTCTTTTTTTTGACTTGCCTGCTTGTGTCTTCATGCTTCAATCATGCTAACCTGACTCATACAGGGATCTTGCGAAAGGCCGTATTCACATGCTTAAGCCTGTCTCATAGCTTGGACATTGGACATCTTTGCGATACAGCTTCAACAAAAGACAAATAATCCCCAACTAGTTTGGTAATCGAGTAATCATTTATGTAATTGTAATATTCAAATATGCAGATTTCTTGCTTTTCTATTCTTTTCTATCAAAAGAAGGAACATATCATTTGACCTTTGACTTACAAAGCAGACTTTTTAAAGACATAAAACTTCGATAGACATTTATTACGATTTTTGACATTTACTAGAAAGATCAAACGATTAATCAAGAAAATATTCAACAGATTAATCTATAAGGAAAGTGATTTCTAGTTGCAGCGCTGATTTGCAAAAACTTTGGGAGAATACAATCGAGTTCATAAGAAAGTAAAAACAGTGGAAACAGTCGCTATTGCTGATTCATCAAAGTTTGCATGAGTTAAAGTGAGAGGGTTAATTAACCCTTCAGAATAATACACATATTTTTATAGAGTCTATCACCACACAATATTTGTTTCTTTAGACGCACAGAAAAATTAAAGGATTTGCCTTCTTTGGTTGTATTGCAATATATTAGATCAAATATGTATGTGTTTTGGACTGTTTTTATCTGACCCAAAGTTTAATCAAGAAAACTATACATTGACAATGAAAACAACAGTTGCGCTCCGTAGTCTAATATCATATGATCAAACGGCTGATGATGTGTATGTGTGGAACATTATTTGGATTAGGAGACAATGCTCCACACCTGGTCCAACCCACGACATCCTGCCTAATCAGACACGCTGACAAGAAGATAAAGAGCGTTTCCTCCCCTCTGACGCCCATTGTCTTGTCTGATGTGCTTTCTTCACCCAATCACTAAACAAATTGTGTGCTTCTTCTTGACAAGAAGAACAAATAAAATCCCTTCAATCCACTTTCCAGTACCAGAAGCAGCTATTTGTGCAAAATAATCATCAATCATGCTGCCATAGTCTGCACTCTCTGTGGGACATGCTGCTGCGAGGACAGCACCAAGTGGACTAGGAGAGGAAATCCTTTTCACTGCATCTTGCCCCCAGACAATAAATGGAAGTGTCCTTTAGCATCCTCCACTTTAACTGCTGTAGTTTACTTGAGCACATGCTTTGGTGGTTTCCCTCCTGCCTTCAATTGCTTGTTTGTAACACCACAGATGCGTCTCTTTTCCCATCCAATAGCTAACGTTCTGGTCCAGTAGATGTTAAGTGTGTGAATTGAATTTTAATTGGAACAAAACTGTTCTTCATGTGCTGCCTGCAGTAACCACAGGGTGGCACTACTCATCAGGGTGTGGATTTGTTATGAAACCACTTTAAAAGGTTTAGTAATATGCATACTGAGTGGGTGCAAGTGATACAGTATCACCAGGGGTGCTTTTTTGGTTTGGATATTCAACCACTTTAGTTTGCATTTAGGTCATGGTTTTATATCTGTTTGCATTTCAAGAGAGTTTGAATTTCAATAATTGAAGAGTTTAGCTCCCAAAATATGAATTCTAACATTTTAGAAACCTGGTTTGAATCAAAAGTAACTAACCACATAAAATACATTACTTATAACTTTTTACAGCAACTTTAAATGCTTTGTGTGCAGAATTCTAACCTAAACTTTTTTATGACCGCTGAAACCTAATTTGCTGCCAAACTGCCGAAATGTTCCTTTTAAACGGTCCCATGGTCCCCTCACACTTAATAGCATTGCCAAGCACTGAGGAGTCGAGGCTTGAATGGACACATTGAGGCCCCAGAATCTTTTTGGTGTCACTGGCTCATAAAATTGCTGCGTCCTTTGTATCCACTGAGGAGGGAAGTGAGTGAGGAGGGGGTGAAAAAACAACACAAAAACATTTTGTATGAAGTGTTGGTGCGGTTTCAAGGGTCAGACAACTCTCTGCAGCCTCACAGGGCTTTCTTCTCCGAGAGGTGGTTGGTGTTTTCTGCTTTTGTTTAATAAAGAATACAGGAAATATCCCAGAAATATCCCAGAATCCCTGAGGTTGGATGAAAGGAGCTCATCTAAAGTGGAACTAATCGAGCGTCCTTTAAACCGGCTCCAACATATTTTCATACAAATTGGGGCTAATTACCCTAGAATCCAACCTAGGGACTATTATTTAGAAACACCATAGTTGGAAAGGGTCCAGGTGTTCACTGATCACATCTAGCTTTTAGCAGTTTCCTCTAAAATGCAATCTGTAGATTAACATCAGTATATTTTTGCAACATTGTATTTCATGGACACATTTCAATTTGACCCATTGCACCTTTTGGTAAATTCTGCTCAACTGAGAGTATTTATGATGAGTTTGTGCCTTCATTTAAATTTAGGATTATGCACTTATTTCATGTTTTTATTTCTTCCAGATTGATCATTTAGGTTTCCTAGAGGATGGTACTTTTAAGCAGAGATACCTTGTGGCAGACAAACACTGGCAGCAGCCTGGAGGACCCATTTTGTTTTACACCGGCAATGAAGGAGACATCACCTGGTTCTGCAACAATACTGTAAATACCCCATCTGTTAGCTTGCATTTACACCGCACGTAATCGCCACTCTAATTCAACACCTGTCATTGTTTTTCTCTGAAGGGATTCATGTGGGAAATTGCGGAGGAGTTGGGCGCCATGCTGGTTTTTGCAGAACATCGTTACTATGGAGAGTCCCTGCCATTTGGACAAGACTCTTACAGTGTAAGGGGAGACGCAGTCTATTAGTGAATCTTTGTATGATAACATCTGATTAAATAGGTTTGCTTACATGTTTTAATTTAAATGTTTGGTCTCCCAATCATAAATAAATTAAAAGCAACAACACTGAGGCATATATTTAAAGATATTTATTCCCAAATAGCATGTGTGTGTTTCTTAAATCCTAGTATTTACAAGATAAATGTTGATTTCACTATCAGTCATTTTAGTTTTTTCGGCAGTTGTTTCGAATGTAATACTTGTCATTATATATATCATTATTTATATATATATATATATATATATATACTTGACAGATTTATCCCATAGGCCATAAGACTGCTAAGCACCTGAGCTCTGTTAAGTGCCTCGATAAACATTAATCTGTTTGTCATCTACTTATTTATCTAAATAGTTATCACCACAATAAACCGTATTTCATTTCGTCTTAATTTACAATATTTTATTAAATATTCTGTCCTTGTATATTTATCATATTCTATTTGCATGTATATAGACTTGCACAATTTTGTATCTTTTTTTTTTGTATTTTATTATATATTTTGCATCGTTGGAGGAGCTCGGGTCACAAGATTATCATTGCTATTTCTACACTGTAGCTTATGACAATAAAACCTTTGAGTCTTTGAATCTTGAATCTGCTTGCAGGACAGCAAACACCTGAACTACCTGACCTCAGAGCAGGCCCTGGCAGATTTTGCAGTGCTGATTCAGAACATGAAGGGAAGTTTACCTGCAGCGCAGCAGAGCCCCGTCATCGCTGTCGGAGGGTCCTATGGAGGGATGCTCGCCGCCTGGTTCAGGATGAAATACCCCAATATTGTGGTTGGGTAAGATATAAAAGCAAGCCTTGGGGACTTTAGGTTTGATTTATAATGATAATAATAACTTAATTATATAGCGACTCTTCAAGAAACCCAAGGACAAAAAGGAAAACACACAGCAGGGATGAGAAAACAAGATAAAAAACAGAAATAAACAAAAATGTAGAGGAGAGAGATTGAACTGAGTCTGAAAGCTGTGAAAAACAGATGTGTTTTGAGTGCTTTTTTGAGTCAGCGGTCCTGATTTCAAGGGGGAAGGAGCCTTAATGTAGCAGGAAACGTTGAATGTTTGCAGCTCCAAATATGTATGTGACATTAGGTATAAGAGTTTGAATCTATTAACCTTAAAAGCACTATGCAGCCCCAGCAAACATGTTACAAAAATGCTCTTATCACTACCAGCATAATGGATGTGCAGCTTGTGTAACTTTGAGATACAAATTTAAATAGTTTTTGCTTCTTATTGTTTCAGAGCTCTGGCAGCCTCTGCACCAATATGGCAGTTCCCTGGTATGGTGCCATGTGGAGACTTTTACAAAGTAGTCACACAGGACTTTGCCAGGAGTGGGTATAACTGTGATGCAAACATCAGAAAGTCCTGGAAGGCTATTAACAATGTCTCCTCCACTGGTAAGTCATACAGTGAAAATGCATCTGTAGAACATTAACAATAACAATAATACTATCAGTTTATGGATGTGAAGGGATGAACTGTAGCAATAACTGCAAAAGCACACAAATGAAACAAGTAGAATAAAAGGTGAGAAGGAAAAAAGACGACATGATAAAGAAAAGATCCACGCATCATAACACCTGTCAATACAATATATGACTACACAATATGACTTATTGAATAATTATAAAAGAAAAAAAAAAGAAAAAACAATTCTCATATAAGGTATCCTGGTTTTAAGAGTTTCTACACGTCTGCACAGATGGTCTAAATTTGTGATTTTGATTGACTGTGTGCTAAAGTCTGAAACCAGACAGCGTTTACTCAAACTCGATCTGTTGGGTATAAAATCTAGAGTCTCTCCACAGATGACAGATTATAATGTATGAATCCATAAAATGTAAAACCTGCATAACTCAGAATATTTAGACTCTTTAGTATTCTTCTCAGATCTGAATAAGAAAGTGTCCCCACAGGCTCCCTGTACCTTTTCCATTTTCACAACACTAAACTGTAGGAAAACGCTTTATTGAATTGAGTGCTACTTTTTTACATCACACCATCAGTTGTTATCAGCAATGAAAAAAGTTTCTAATAAGGTGCATTTTAGCAATGGTTTGATATTTGTATTAACTGGCTTGATTTTTAGTTTTCTTTCTGTTTAAGTTAGCTCTTAGCTTCATTCATTCTTAGCTTCATTAAAATGTGATATGTTGATCATTCAACACATAGGTTTGAGCAAGCTCTCTGATTGGTCAATAGGCGTGTTTGATTCCACGATCAAACAACGATCAAATAGAACGTGCCTAATCACAAAGTATCCAGTGGCCTACACACGCCACTAGCCTACCGAAACTACTTCCATGAGCCTACATCGTGTGGTTTCCATAGCGACGTTTAGCGACACACAGCCGTTACACTGTTATACATTGTCTCTCGTTGGAAATCGGTAGCTACAAAATGTCAGATTTTAAAGTTAATTTTGATTTGTTGGGGTCCGTTAGCGGACATAAAAACGAGTCATCGCTCCGCAGCTACTGGGCTCCATCTCTAGACAACAGAAAGATGTGGAGCAAAGCGCTTTTTGCCGGTCCGGGACACGCCATGAAACGACCACTGGAGGAAAGCTCTTCCTATAACGTAGTCCTACCCGTGAACACCACAGCACCACCTGCAAAAAAGTCTGGCATGTTCATGGAGAGCTGTTTCAAGAATTGCACTTTTAATGGCAGCATGAACATCCACCTTCATTCTGAACCCAAAATGTTTCAGCACAATGGAGAGCCTGATTTGATTTGTTCCGCTAATCCCACACAGTGATTACTCAGATATTTAAATAGCCTAATTCAAGAATTGTTTTCAATAAATTGTTTTCAATAAATTGGTTAATAATATATTATTTACTATAATTATATCAATAACTGTAAGCGGGGTAGAAGAAGTGTTTGATCGGCTATTGTAACCATGGGAACTACTTTCTAGGAACTATCTGACGGAGATTAACTCAAGCAGAAAGCGTAGGTTTGGGAGCAAATCAGCCCACATTATGAAATTACTTTACGATATTGTTGATTACAATGATAGTTTGTGTAATAGAATCGCAATCATACACTTGTGTATGATTGCTTAATTTGAAAACATCGCTGCTTGCTTTAAAAGTAGCACAATTAATTATGTCAAACCTTTAAAAGTATCTAGATATCCCTGCCCTAATGCCAAAGTAACTGACAACTGAATATGTGTCGCCGTTTGATGTCTATGTCTGGAACGTTGCGTAAAAAGGAGGATTTCTGCCCATTACTTCTCCGCTGTTTTCTTGTCAGTTAGAGAAGCAAACTGTATACAGTTAAATCGAACGGACTTCTTTCTGCAGATGTGAGCTTCCTTAACAACGGTCAATAAGTCCGGACTGTCCTTGACAGCGGTCTGTCTGTTCGGTATTAACAACGTGTCACGTGTTCTGAATTGACCAATCAGAATCGAGTATTCAACTAAGCCATGTAATAAACAAACATACATACCGGTACAGCCCTATTTTCCCAGACCGCCATGAGCACTTTACATTTCACCTTTTTTTTTCAATACTTTTGTGTATTCATCGTGTTTCGTTTTCTATATAGCCTACAATACCATTCTTGTTAAACCATAGGCAATTTGGTAGTACTTGGTACCCTCAGTGGTCACCTCTCTGTTACCTCATTCACACCAACGGTGTTTCAGGGCCGGTTCAGAGCTGGAGCTTGAAAAGCACCGGGTTTTCCTCTTCACAGCGGAGCAGCCTCTTAGCTCCGGAATCCGGTTCATTTCGAGCACCAAAAAATTGTCCGGCCAGAGCAAAAGCACCGCATACGTCACGCTTACGTCGAGGCGGGGGCAGGGGCGGGATCAACTCCTGAACAACAACAAAAAGCCTGCGTTTTATCCAGTTTGTACACAACGATGGAGAAACTTAACAAGCAGCAGTGGTCCACTGAAGAGACGAGCTACCTACTGGGAATCTGGTCTTCCGAAGAGGTACAGAGGAAGCTGGAGCACAATCGGCCATTGTTGTTGTCGGTGTCAGCTGTGAGGGGTTTCCGCGCGGTTTGGATTTATGAAGCAGGCACGCAAACGGTTACGTCATGACGCAAACGATGACGCAATGACGCAGCACCAGTCGGACTCTGGGCAGTGTGAAAAGAACCGGAGCTAAACCGAAGAACCGGTTCTGAACCTGAAAAGCTCTAGCACGGAGCTTGAACCGGAGTTGCGTTGGTGTGAATGAGGTATGTTCATAAAGGATCCATCCTCCCCCTTGGTTTATAAGATAACTTGAATCTTTTAGTGACCTTTATCATAAAATAACATGAAATTATTCTGATATTAAAGTAAAAATCGAATTAAAAGTAAAGTCACATGCTGGCCTTTCTTTATTGAGCCTTAAATCAATGTCAGCTTTTATTTGTAGCTCTAGTTTTTCTTCAGTTTCCCCCCCCATTTGTCCTGTTAATTATTTGCTTTCATTACTTGTCCTGCTGTTTTATTTCTTTCTGCTTGCATCTTTTTCTCCCAAACTCATTGTTAGACCTTGTTATGTTTATTTTTAATTGCTTGTTTTAGGTGCTGATTAAATACATTTCCGATGTTAAAAGTCATAATTCAGCCCCTTGTTTCAAACCTGCTGCGGCGAGCTGGTTGTGCTGCTTCTCTCTTCTCTCACCCCAGCTCTCTCCTCTAGTTTCACTCTGTCTTTGATTAAATAGCTTTAATTCTGTATTACGGGTATATTACATTTCTTAGTGATATGATTCTCTGGTCCCACATTTTCTCAACAACCTGTGTAACCATGGTAACATTCTGGTCAAGAAGGGACACAACATTCATAATTTCTTTCACATTTCTGAAGCATGGTGTTATTTAAATAGGGAGCAACCAATACATATTAGTAACCAACACTCGTTGCAGTGCGATAAACCACATAATCCACTCAAATCCCTCCAGTTAATAAGCAGTAATTGACCTTCGTATATTCAGTAAGTGAGTGTGGATTATTCTATTTACACAATCCAAAGGCTAATATAAGGCTCTTTAGTGCACACTTTGCCATGGATTATCCCTTATTAAAGTCAAGATTAAGGTGCTCCTGATGGAATTGTCCACCCTAGGAAGGGATTTGATGTAGAAATTAAAATTAATTAGTCAATATGGTGATATTACATGAGCCTGTATTTCAATGATACAGGCTCATTACACAATTGGAAATATGGCTGCCATTTTTTGTCACCATACAGTAACTAAAACATGCTCACAGAGGGCTGCAGCCCTGCAGGTCACCTTCAGACTCAGCCCTGAAGGTACCATACTGATATGATTGTAATTGAACATTTTCAAAAAAATCTGGATAACAATAAAACACTGGCACAGATGAGAAAGTATTGTATCAAAAACTTTATTCTCAAATAATGTTTTCAAAATATCTGATAGATAAACTTTGAGTCTCTTTAACAGCAGGTTGTGAGGCTGCATACACATACAGTATCTGTTGTATAATCATTTATAACACTCCATGTATTTCCCCCCCTCAGGATCTGGTCAGAAAAATGCCCTTTTCAAAACTCAAGAAGTTACAAGTCAAGTTAGGAGCATCCAAACTGTTGGAGACTTGCCTATGCTGCTTTCATAGCCTACATTTACCCCCATTTTATTTTCCACTCTAAACCCATTATGTCTAAACAAGGAGAGCCAGATGACTCCTTGCCTAACAGACATAAAGTCACATTTTGGGCCGTAAAGAGGTCAAGTCATTCAAAATCTTTTGTGCCTGTGGAAGTCATCCCTCTCCCAGATATAGACACCAGGATCAGCCACACAGAGCTGTTTTTACACAGGAACACTTATGTTTTAAAGAAAGTGTCATTTTCACTCCATCCATGAATACCGTTCATGGCATTTTGACACTAAAGATCTGGTGTAGGTATCTTAAATGTATTCAGAAAATGAATGTAAACATTATGCATGAAATCACAAATGCTAAGGCAGCTCGTACGGCGAAGCTGCCGCATTAAAAGCCACATTATATACCATATTTCTGCAGGGAATGGGGATTTAAATGTTAAAATGAAACACAAACTCTGCCAGCCCCAGTCTGTGGAGGAGTTGGAGCTGACACATCAGTTATAGGACCGAAGTGTTTTCGAGTTTGAATAAAAAACTTTTTTACAGGTGTGACCAAGAGATAAGTGTGTCTCTCCAGCATGGAGAAAATAAACTCTGCATCCCACAAGGTTTTCTGTTCCTGTGTAAAATCAGCCGTAAAAGAGATCACATGACATTTGGATTTTATATACTCGGTTTGAACCATAGATTTTTACATGGTGTGAAACAGTAAAAACATTGACTTTAATGAACAAGAATTTGTTGTACCTACATCTTTAATCATAAAAAGTACAGCATGTTTAATAATTTGTTTTTGTTTTTTTACAAATTCTCCATAAAAAATAGATTTCTGTACAAAACTTTTTTCTTTTGCACCTACTTCAAGTTCAGCAGCACATGATGATGATGATGCGAGGTGAAATGGAGGTGATCATGATGCTTTAAACAATAACATTAATGATGATGGCAGCTTCCTGGTAAAGACTTGCCATTTTTTTTAAACATATCTCTGTGCCATTTATGACCAAATGAAACCATTTTTTAAAGTACACATTTATAAGCCACAATCTCACTTACTGCATGTCAAAATGATTTGCGGAGACTGTATTCCATCATCATAATGTGTGGTGTCTCAATCTAGAAGCTGCCATGTGCCGTAATGTCCATAATTCATCCGAGTGAAGCAGGGCTGCAGTCAACTCACGTTCAATTCTGACAAAGATAGTGATTTTCTTCAAAGCTCAAAAGCTGAGCGTATGACATGAGAAGTTTGTCCTATCCAAACTATTGAGCAGAAGCTGACAAAGGCCTGTCAAGGGCAATACATAACATTTTAATTCCACTACAAACTGTATCTGAAAGCAGCCATACTACAGTGTTCCTAGAAAAGATCAGTGTCCTCCCTGCGGGATAATAAATGCACACATAAATTCATCTTTATGTAGTTTTCATAGGTCTTGTATCGGCATTGAATCGATTATGTAATTATTTTCAGCGTGTGACATTTGCAGTTTTAGCTGTTTTTTTTTTCTTAAGCTCGCAGCAACCTAGGCCCCTTTGTTTCAACGAGGACTGCTGACGATACTACTTTAGTAAGGGACAACCTATTTCCCCAACTGTGAAAAGTCTAAGCTGAAGAAGCAGAAACAACCTTGGCATTTCAAAATGTATTGGGTAAGTTCTAAAAAGAATTAACCAGCTGTCGCTCTTTAAACAGCAAGGACTGCTGACAGTGCCAAATTAAAAGCAAATGTGAAAACTTCTTCCTAAGTTGTAAAGAAAGTCTTCAGTCATTTTCAACTTATCTTCAAGGAGGTATGTGTCATATCCAGGAGAAGACTGATCAATAAACAGATGACGTTTTACAGCCTCCGCACTGTCTTTCTAATCATTCCAATAGAAATTAAGACATAAGCTAGACGTCACTCGTTACATGTATTTCATTACTCTAAGAAAGGGCCTTTGTTATAAGATTTGCTTTTGTTAAGATTGAAATGAAGTCACGGCAAACTTAAAAAAAAAAAGTTGTCCATTGTAAGATATTTTCCAAAAGAGTGATTTTAACCAGAGCCACAACAATAGGCCTCCTTATTGTACTAGTGAGAAGAAATACAGGTAGACCTCACAATGGCTTTCTTCCCTTTTCAATCATTCGCAGTCCTTTCATTTCAATTAAATAGCTATGAAAACGAATTATGCCCAGCTTTCAGCTCCACATCTCACTCATTTTGTAGTGCTAACTGGGAACAATGGAGATCTGTCTCTGTGCCTTTGATAATGATGTCTTTGTTTACAACAGATATTTTAAAATATAGAATAAACTTTAATTTTTTTATTATTTAAAACAGAGTCGAGGTATTAGAATCAAGGGGATTAAATAATACAGCAATGTTGTAATACTTAGATTTGAACTTCCTCACTGTATTTTAAATCTGCAATTACTCACATGTCTATGGGTACACAAGATGTGAAAGCTAACCTCGGTAGAGCCCCTCTGATGTTTTCCTGCCAGAACAAACTGGGACAGCGCTGAGTCTAAGTGCTCTGGTTCAGTCTCACTGGGAGATCAGATCCGTATCATTACAGTAATTGTTAAAAATTACACCTTTTACTACGCCTGTAGGAACCTTGCAACCTCTAATTTTCAGGCTCCATTATGCTCTCTTAACTCCATAGGGAATCTCAACTGAATTAATTTAATCAATTAAAATAGAAGCACTCGAGCAATACAAAGTGAAGAGGATCACTATCTGCTGTTGTTTACAGATGTCTGTTTATTTCTATGAGAAGATTTTCAATGTGTGTCTACTGTCTTTCCCCCACTCTCTAACTCTTGCCAGTATTATAACTTATTATAACCCTCATCCGCATATCCTAATTTTCACTCTAACTGGTGTAAATGTTTCTGGCTGTTTGACCACGACCCTGACTCTGAGGCTGTCAATAGATACCATAATACCAACAACATCCTGTATTCATGCTTCCAAACATTTTCACCATTGTTTCGTCCACATTTCGTTTGCAACATTCAAACTGGTGTTCATTTTCAGAGAATCCTTTTCAATTAAAAGAGCCGGAAAACTGCAATTTCCTTGTCACTTCGTTCTTGCATATCAAAACAGGTGGAGGTGACAAACTTCTCATAACAAATGTTTTCTCCTCAATATTTGTGACTTGGTTGAAATCCTAACTGCAATATAACTGTATTAAGTGTTTCATCGTCAAAATCATAATTTTTAACATCTTTTCATTAACTAATATCTCATACCTTCCACACTCCTGTGCGAATCAATGGATATGTTTTTTTGTTTGTACGTATGACAGTATGATGGTTTGAGCTTATTTGGACAATACAAATCATGCAGGTGTAATGCCAAAATGGATCGCATGGAGAGTGATACAAACGAGAAACAGGCCTGAAGACACACACTGAAAGCAGTTACATCTATGAATTCTAAACCAAGTGCAGCATCTTTCCAAAAATAAAATTATTTTGAGAGAACACTGCGAGAAATAACAAGCTTGGCAAGTGATTTAAAACCAGTGGATTTTCTTGAATTCCCAAGACTACAGGGTGTTTGCACGACATTTTGTCTTAAAATACCAGGAAATGAAAGGTTGCACTCGCTAAGCTTGTGTATTTGTTGCAGTGAAGTTCCTGCGATAATAAGCAGGATGTAACTTTCTCTCTGCACATGAGGTATTTCTAAAATGGATAGGGGCAATAACTGCAGACAACAATAATTGTGCATGTTGTCTTCGTACTGTATTCGTTTGTCCTCTGCCTTACGTGACAGATGATCAAACTGATCACGAATACATGGTGGGCTCTTTAAAAAGATGTGTTGAAATAAAATCAGATATGTCAAATGTGTTCAGAGATGACGTAGGATTATGTTGATAGTTTGGGACACACATATTTTTAAAGAGTTATAGAAACAGTTACATTCCTGAAAGCTAACACTGCTAAACTGAAAAAAAGCCCATAGAGAGATACTATTTAATATTCATAAAGGACTGTACAGTATCTCAGGAAATGATGGAGTTTAATACCTGAAAATAAAACTAGCAGTGGTGTACCTGTGTTTCAGTGGGACCATACTGCATATTATGGATGTGAGGCTTTCTGTGTATTTCTTCCACACATTACAGCACTCGCACTGTGCAGTATGAGCTTTCAGAAGCATCCACTGTTCTATAAATGGCACAAATAAAAGTGGTGTCATTTCGTGACACTAAAAGCTCAGAGGTCCGAGGGTAAACTGACCCCAACTTTCTGGTTGGCTAGCGTGTTATCATGGCAACAAAATAAACAACGGTATAGCATGTGGTCACACCTTCTGCTAACAGGGAGTGTGCGATATAAATGTGTATATACAAACACTCTGTAACCCTGTATTTTCTCATTTTTGTCGTCTTTTTAAAGATAGAAGTTTCTGAATAAAATTCTCTTTTTTCGAGTGACTCATTTTTCAAACCCATTTCAGACCCACGTCAGAAAAACACACTAGTGCAAAATTTGTGCGGTTTAAGAGTTTATATAAAGTTTATATTTTGGGGTCCCCAGCAGCAGTGGTTTGGGAAGTCCCATGGGGCCACTGGGTATTTGAACATAGAGTCTGTTCATCAATATCTTCACTGAAGAAAAATGACCGAAGACACTAATAGAGACAACTATTTGCCTCAGTCTCCATAGCAACCTGTCTTTGTCTCTCTTTTCCAGCATGACGGACAGAAGGGGCTATCCGTCCATTTGTCTGTTTCCGTCATTCAGTTTGTCCGTTAATCTGTTGATCATTTCTGATCTTGGGGCTGGAGAGTATGCTGTAGAAAATAAATCAGTCAACACTTGACTGATAATCCCGCCCAGAGTTGGGAGAAGACGAATCATTTCCAGGATTTGGCCGCAGCTGATTGCAGCAGTTGAAGATCTTGACAGCTTATTGCCTCCAGGCTTCCTCTTTTTCAGCCACCAAACTCTGAATCCTGGCCAGTCCAAGAACAAGAATCAGCTGTCTGACTCTTTGATTGTGTGAGACAGGCCTCTGTGGACACCAGCCCGGCAACTCAAATGTCTGGTTTTCAGGTTTAGCGCAGTCTGCCTAGTGCTAGTGTTGAATATTGTACATCGTATTGATTTTAAGTGTATAGTACGTCCATAGAATATTTTAAAAACGGCAAAAACTCATCTAGAACTAGATCACAGGGTCTTGTAATAAACTTGGGAAAAATAGCATTTGCAAATGTTTGATCTGATATGTTTAAGCATACATTAGTTTTCAAATACTTCATAAGTAGGTCATAAGTGGCAGAACGTAAACACCACCTCACAGTTATCTTTTTGAGAATCTGACAAGTCAACATATCTCACTCTGTGATTTTCCTGATATTGTTGAAGCCATTCAGTTCTCTACGTAGGCTGAAACAAACATTTTAATTGTATCTGCAACTGTTATTTGACCCTGGCTTGTCCAGCACTAGTCCACAGTTCCTAGTACAAATCTAATACTAGTATCCAGTACTGGATGAGATTTGAGCTTTTAAGGAATTTATGTGTTGAGCTTGTCACTGCATTGACTGCATTTGGTGGTCCATTGAACAGCAGTCGATTGACATCAGATTCCCCCAAAACAGAATCTGAGAGCTGAAGTTACGTCAGAGTCTAGTCCCGTCAAGTCAAGCATGATGGAGGTCTACAGGGATTTTTTTTGGTCCAGCACCAGAGATGTTTTTTATGTTGACACATAAGGAACAATCAAATTACTTTTTGATGTCTGAAGGGGATAAAAGAGTGTGAGTCCATGTGCTTCCCCCTTGCATCACCCATGTCTGGCCTGCAGCAGGGGACTTCCTAAGTTAAGAGCCTACACTGTGCAAATTTGGCGTGGGGTGTGGGGTCAGGTTGGTTAAACCACATTCAGGTTGCAGGGAGGGTATTCATGGGCCATACAAAGCACTTAATAAGGTTGATTTTTGCAATAGTCATCTGACACTGGACACACACTGTACAGTGAGGTTGTCGCTCTTGAAGGAATTAGTTGTACCATCTTTTGTGTTTTTCCTTGGTGTTTTAATGGCAACATGCCTCAGAATAATTCTAGTCCCAGTGTTGATCTCCTCAACAACACATTTGATAACTTCATTGTCTGCTCCCTTGTGTACTGGTTCCAACGTATTTCGCTCTTTCCGACTATGGGTAGAGGAGGGTGATACCTTTTTGCAGGTAGGAGGTGGAGCAGAGCTGCATTACTGTGCAGGTTATACTGCCAGAGGACCAGCATGCTACAACACAAACTGCTCACAGTAACAATTCCAAATAATTTCTTCTTTCTTCAGTTTGGTGAAACCACAGCACAGACTGCGACAGGGAGGTTGGACTGAACCACTGTTTAGGTGGTGGCAGGTTGTTGTACTATACTACGGTACAGACTGTATTGAGTGTGGTGTCAAATCGAACTGCCTTAGCCTCAGTGGGCTTCATGTTGGTGTCATACATTGGGTTTTCAAATGATGCCTGACCGTTGGAGCTCTCATGACCGACATAGCCATTGAACTGGACCTTGGGACGTGTCCTGCAAGAGAGAGGAAAGACAGACATGGTGTTCATCGCAGGTATTTGGTTATACAAGGATAACTTGACAACGTTTGGAAAAAGAAAACACAGTAAACCAAAACGGTGCAGGTCTAACAAGACAATGACAAGCAAAAGACAAACTCAAAGATATGTTAGACATTAGGATGAATTTGCTTAAATGTGCCTGCTTCCTTTCTTTAATATGAGCTCTTACCAACTCTCCCATTTAAAATCATATCTGTCAAGTCTAGTTTGAGCCCAGGTGAATCAGTGATGTGTGAATAAGTGGAGCAACTACCTGCTTAACATCAATATATTTTTCTCTGAAGTTGGTGAACCAAAAAGCCTGGTGAAATATATTTTATATGTGAGGTGGCCAGAAATGTGACTCAAGTGATGATCATGTTCTTCTGTGGTTTGTGAGTCCTTGAGATTTTTTTGGAGCCTTTTTGACCCCCGCCTTTTCAAAATAGAGCTTTAAGTAGAAATATTTAGCTGTCTGCAAAACAGCATTACATGTTTAAGTTGTTAATGTTTGTTTGTGAAACATATCAACATGCAGCAAGGCAAACCACAAACAGAATTTTATAATTGTCCTTGCATTGCCTATTCCACATCAGTGATATAGAAAGCACTGGTGGTAATGAAATATTAGGGATGTATGAGTTCAAGAACTACTGAACAGCAGAATATTTGAACACTACTCATACAGAGAAACCTGCAAATGATTACAAATTGTTGGTGTATTGATGACCAATTCATACAAAAAAGAATATATTTCTATTTTATATAGTCCTATTTAGTTCTACAACCAATTAAAAAAAGACAATTTATTCAGATAAGTTAACTGAAAATACCCTTCTCTGTCCTCTCAACTGTCTTGTTAACATGATGGGCAAGAGCTTTAGCCTTGGGATTAAAGTTGCCCCCTTAGTAAGAGCTGGTTCTGGTATACATCTACAAATTGCATGGAAATGGTTGGCAGGCGCGATCACATGAACCGTAGCAACTGTCAGCTTCAGTGGTTCAGCTAACCAGATCCCATCTGCTGATCTCATGTGAGTCTCAGTACATGCAACCTCCCATCATCCTGTAAATGGTGCCCAATGGTTTAAGTTCAAAAGGACACATTATTAGTCAATGTGCCTGAATAAGGATTTTAGGAAACTTACTGCAGAGATTCAAAAGGTTATGCAGTGAAATACACTCTTCTAACGTGTGTTTGTCGCAGATTACATTTTTTTAGATAATCAGGTCCTATAATCCAGTTAGATATAATCACTTACTTCCAAACCCTGTGGAACTATTAGCAGCGAGGAATGCTGCAACCGAAACACTGTTTGACTCTGACCTCATTAAGAGTGTGTGTACGTGTGTGTGTGTGTGTGTGAATACTCACTGGTAGAAATCCAACCCTGGGGAGCCACTAAGCCTACCCTACATGCTCAATCCATTACTTTACAAAACTGCACACACACCAACACACAAGGCAGACCTCCCTGCATGGCAGTAGTTCAAGTCTCTGCACTAGTTTCTGTTTGTGGCTGTAGGTGCAATACTTTAGTTTTATTGGTAGAATGAAAAACAGCTCACACAATTGCTTTGACAGTATTATAGATACTGTATTGACATATAGATCTGCAGTGTGCACACTCACACCTCTCTTTTAGTTGTATTATTTAAGTTATTGCATTGTTATGTAAAGCAATGTTCTACTTCCAGCTTAGCATTTTGTTTGGCTAGGGCGTTATGTTAACTAAATGCACACCTACTGTCTAGTATAGATGAAACAAATACAAAAATAAAATAATACAGGATGATGTATATTTGCTCACACTTCATAGTATTACTCAAACGTAACAGAACATCAAAAACTGTGTTTTTTCTTGATGACATCATGCTGACTGAGAGATGACAATGAGATTAAAGACAAATTACATCGCTTTCAAGCGTTAAAAGGTGGCTATTATGACATAGTAAGGCTGCAACAACTAAAACAATTACTTTCATCTGAGATGAGGAGTCTGTGTGTTCCATTTCCCTCTGAATATCTATTCAATTGGTTGAAAAGCTTGTGTTTTCTAACAATACAAATAATGTAGGACAAAGTACTGATCTGAGCTCAGAACAGACAATACAAATGTCATATTTTGGTGAATTGTGCAGCCTTACTTCACAGCATGAAGAAACATTTTAAAACCAAAAACAAGAGATGAAGAGTTTGACGGAGGATGTGGCGGCGGCGGAGGTCTGGTTGCTGTTGGAAACCAGGTGGTTGACAGGTCTTACCTGCCGCCAGGCCCCCAGGTGTCTTTTGGTCTCTCATTGTCATCTGTCTCAGCAGACAATGTCCTGCATACAACCATCAGCTTTAATATACATCGGCTATCATTGCACACAGCTAACACACTGCAAAGTAATATTAGTGTTGGTAGCTATTGTATCTAAATCCAACTGTACTGTCAATATCTGTGTAAATCTGGGCAGCACAATATATCCTTTATATCAAAATAGAAGCTGCACAATACAGTATATCGAAAAAGTCTGCTGTATTATACAATAGGGATGTTTTGTGTTGTAAAAGAGCATCATAGAAACATTTACAACTAAAATGTATATTATTTTGGTGATGCTTTTTGTGCATACTTCCATATTCAATGTGTTCAATATAAGCATTTTCAAATAGATTTATTTAAATTCAACAGCCAGCCTGCTGTGTACTAAAAGTGTCTGTTTATTATAACAGGTACGGTCATGATTGCAGTATTCAAAATAATGATATCAACATATTTTCCCCATACCGTGCAGCACTCATCTTCATAGACCTGTAAATAGGAGTCACGGTCTTATCAGGATTTACTATTCTCACAAGTCAGTAAACACTACAGCCATGCAATTTACTAACTTTCTAACAATGCATTAGACTGTTGCCTCAATGAGGTCAGGACATGTTTCACTGCAGATAAAGTAGCATACAGCTACCATTAATGACAAGCCAACAGATTAGTGTGCACTGCAGTAATGACTTTTGTTAGATGAGTATGATGACTTTGTAAAAGTTTGAGTGATTAAGTGCAAAGGTCAGAACCGCCCTAAGATGTAGAATCTTAAATAGGTCTAATATTGGAAACGTTAATGATGACATTTTACCCTCAATATAGCTGAGAATAATCTGGCATCTTAAGGCACAGTCTTTTGTGAAATTTCCAGGAACAATAATTAAAATCTAAGGTCAATCAGATGTAATCTTCATAGTACGCTTTGGAGTTTTAAAGCTTTAATTATGTTTGAACATTTCTTTAAACCTGCCTCTCCTCCCAAAAAAGGTATCTGGTCCACTTAATGTATTTCAATAGAGCTTAAGGACAAGGGGTTTATCAAACAGCTACTCTTCTACTTAGTTTTGAAGTCACTCACAAATATATGACGTTTTCAAAGACAAAAATCGGCATTAGGCTCTATTTTGATGTTGGTTTGGCGAAAGCACAAATGCTAGTGGACTGCCAATTTGGAAAGTCTTTGGTAAATGACATGTCTGCCAGCACTTATTTATCCTAATTTCCCATAAGTATTCTATATTCAGAGTAATTAAAGAGGATTTTTCTACTGGGTTGGAATATTTGGTGATTTTTTTACAATACCAAAATGTCTTGATATGCAAAGGCTTCCCTTGCTTTCCTTTGAGCTCTAACTACCGTAAAGACATTGTGGTATTTGTCTTCTTCTGGCAGTGTTTCCCACTGAATTTGATTCTATTCTATTTTCTCCCAAAAATATAATTTGCAATTAACAATTTAGGCATTTAGCAGACGCCTTATTCCAAAGAAACTTACAATGATCAATTACAGGGACATTCTCCCTGGAGTAACTGAGGGCTAAGTGCCTTACTCAAGGGCACACTAGTAGTGGTGTTCCAGGCGGGATTTGAACTTGCAACCTTCCGATCATCAGCCCATCTCACTATACATTAGAACACCAAAATTAAATTAAAAAAAAAAAAAAAATGAATATGAGATCTATTTGTGGCGGACGATATTTAATTGTGGCGGTCACCACATTTTTTTTGTTATATCTGTATGAGGAAATTATCAAGCTGGATTTTTCTTTTAATCATTTGTAAGTTTGTATTGTCTGTTTTTACTCTGAGGATATAGCGTACCTGTGCTTGTAGAGATAGAAGGCGAATCCAGACAGGATGAGGGCAAAGAAAGGAACTAAGATGGCGGCTGCCACGGAGCTGCTGTTGGTGTAGGGGTTGGATGGGTCCATTGCCATGGTTACAGGGCCTGGGGACAGACACAGAGGAACCCACACATGCATGAACACATTAACACCCTTTTGTGCACGTGTAATAGAGGATCTGTCCTTTTAGTCTTTACACTTGAGTTCTGTTTCAGTGTTTACTCAGTCTGAAATGTAATTTATTTTTACATTACACAATATTGCTGCTAATATTTCTTCAGTTTGAACTAATATTTATATTCCCATTTTCAGTATGACATAGTGTCAAAAGAAGATATCAAGGCTGTGTTGTTTGTCACATCTGGCAAGCAGCTAATGTGTCTGGCACAGTTGTCTGTTTCAGGGCAGTTTCTTCAGATTTTAATGAAACTTGGTGGAATGTTGTAGCACGGGCCAAGCAAGACCTCATTACATTTTGGAGAAGAACCAAATGAAGGGGCAGATACAACAATTATGTTTCACCTTCGTTAACATTGCGCCATGTTTGGCATTTGTGCTGCATTCATGTGGTGTCAGAATAATTGGGCAGGAAAAAATCCGTCTATACCCTTTCAGGTCGGAACAACAATTCAAAAACTGATTGTTTAAACGCTCTGAGCTTTTAAGAGTCAATATTTTTCAAACAAAAAGGACTTAAAAAGGCAGTTAACACATCAAACGACTTTGCAACTCAGGGAATTGGACCATCCAAGGAGTGTGTGATTGCAGCGTTGGCCTCTCCGCTCTGCGAGTGGCTCTCTAGTTGTGTTTGTTATTGATGCTGATGTCACGGAAAGACCTACCTTGCCTGGTTAGATGGAACTTGCCAAAGTCTTTACTATGAGTATGACCCTGGTAGACAAAAGTCTTCTGGTCGGATTCTGCAGTAACCTGAAAAGTGAAAAAGCAGATTGTTGTTTGTTCTTAGATAACGACATTCAGTTAAAGGCTGTTTCACATGTGAAGTATGAGGCATGTGATAATATTCTTAGCATGTAGATACATATGTAGCTACCTCTTCATTTCTTGAATTTTACATTGTGGTATATCAACGTTATTTTAGTTTTCACCCTGTCTTCTTCCCTGATCAGCAATATTTCTGCCCCTCATGTACTTGGGCCCTCCCCAACCTCCTTCTTTTCCTCTCTTCACCCTCTCTTGTTAGGAGGCCAAAGCAGCAACGCTTTACCCCCAAATCAACAATTGAAATGTCATCTTCTAACTGTAAATAAATTGCTTTCCAGGAATCACAACTAAGCCATAACCAGTCTGACTCTCCTCCTTCCGTACTCTTTCTGTCATCCGCAACATGAACAATGGTCTGTCTCTGCCTCCTTCCTTCCTTTTTACACCCTTCTGTTATCCATTCCTGCCTGACTATCATTTAAAATCATCCCACTCGGTTCCTCCAATATGCCCTCTGTCCTCCTCTGTAATCAAGTCAAACAGGATCCGGTTTTTAATCCATTCCCCAGCTGAAGACACGATCTTCAGAAGTCCCAGCTTCAAAAACCACATCGAACAAAGTTTAACAGTCTCTATGGAACATGAAAGGTGACTTTCTTATTTTTGTTTTTCCTTTTAAACACTTTTGGCATTCAATATGTTCACATTTAAAGGAGTTGATTGACTAAATTCACAGCTTAAAGAAGCCCCATTTGTGTACATCAAAGATACATTATGAATGCACAGGGAGGTGTAAATAAACCAAATGTAGGTTTTATGTGAGGATACGTGCTGGAACTAATTATTGGCTGAAGTAACGTCCTGGATTCTCTACGGTACGCCTTGCAACCTCACGTATACATGCAACCTTGCAACACTTCTTGGTAAACCACATTAATCCTGTATTTAAAAAAAAAAAAAAATGGTATTTCAAAATCTGATTTGTATAACCTGAATCAACAATTGAGTCAAATTTAAATACATCTCTTTAGCAAGAACCTGCCCAGCGCAGTAGTGTGGACTGTGCCACACTGTTGTTCCAGAATAGGGCAGTGATGTTGATTGAAAAATAGGGAGTTGAGGAAGGACTGTATAATGAAAGTTCCACTCGGAATGACGAACGCCTTGGGGTGTCGGTAAGAACATGGGAGTCTTGGTAGTGGTTAATTCCTTTTACTGAAGATATCACCACAACAGTCACAGTATTACAGCCTTGGAGCAGGTGTAGTGTACTGTATGTATATGTGTGTGGATGTTGGTCCCTTTCTCCACCTTTGAAATTGGTTCCGTTGTCGGAGTAGACTTCTGATGGCCTTCCGCGTCTGGCAATGAACCTTCTGAAGGCCATTAAAAAGGAGTCTGTATCGACAGAGGTAAGTAAGTCAATGTGAACGGCCCTTGTGGGGAGGCACTTGAACACAATACCCCACCGCTTCTCATTGCGTCGTCCCAATTTGATCAGAAAGGGGCCAAAGCAATCCATGCCAGTTGAATAAAAGGCAGGCTTGAATAGCCTGAGGCGGGCCACGGGTAGGTCAGCCATTTGTTGGGAAGCAGGTTTTGCTTTCCATCTACAGCATTCAGTACAGCTGTGCTGGTGCCGCCTAACAGCCTCTCGCCCACGCAGGATCCATACTGTGCGGCGAAGCTTGGCGAACACTCTCAGGTTAAGGGTGACAGAGAAGAGCATCAACATGTTGAATGAGGAGCTTGGTGTACGAATGGCTGGGGTTAAGTACAACTGGGTGCATAACTGTCGGATCAAGGTCCTCTGCCTGCCGGAGTCTGCCTCCGACTCTGATAAGGTTGCAGTCTGTGTCATACTGAGGCGTGAGGCATAGGAGACAACTGCTAGAAGGGATAGGTTTGCCAGACTTTAGTAGATGGTATTCTTCTGTGAAGCTGTCCAGCTGAACTTGTCTTGGAACATTCTGCTCTGCCCTGTTGTACATCTCTGCTGTAGGAGAGTCAGTTGACGATGAGTCATCAAGCTTGGCTGCCCCGTGAAGTTCCTTGGCTTTGGCCTCCACTAAATCACTCCAAGTGCGTAACGGTGTGACATCTGGAGTCGATGCCCTTGGTTGGGAGATGGCAATACCACATATGGCAAACCGCTTTAACTCTGTAGTCCTGAGGCTTGGCAATACTGCTTCCTTGGATGCCTGGCGTAGTGGTGCATCCTTTCTCCTTAGCATAGGTGTTGCATACCTAAGTACTCCATTCACGGTTAGTTGCTTTGTCTTAGCCTCCAGTAGGTTAGAAGGTAGGGGTGGGCGATATTGAAAAATATATTATCACGATATTTTTCAAGCAGTATCACGATAGAAGATATATATATATCACGATATTTTTTCATGTCGGTTATTATGGTTATTTTTCAAGTTACTTAACAGAACAACCACCTACACGGTAACAGAAACTAAAACAGAAAGGAGTAACAGACCAAAATACCATTTCAAGCTGGTTTTACTTCTGAAATGAATCCCTGAATGAACAATTCAACATGTTGATATGGCTTCAAGGCACAGTTTCTCAGTATAAAAATGAACTTTCTGAGGTAGCACTAGCAGTGAACATCAATAAACATGAAAAGGAGGGTAAAACATAACTAAGTAAAACATAAAACATCAATGAGGAAAAGTCAGTGCCAAACAATTAAAATGTAAACTTTACCTAATATCGTCACGACGATATATATCGTCATATCGCCCACCCCTAGGTTAATGGCTTCCTGGTCTTCCTTAGACCTGGTCACATCTTTCTCAGACCTGTAAGGCAGGGTGTCAACTTGCCACAACTTCTCCACGTTGCGCTGCACCTCGACTGCAAGTGGGCTGAGGGATGTAAAAAGGCATTGGTGAGGCTGTAACTGGGACTGAAGAATCTGTGCCGGCCCTTGAAGTGTCCATCCAAGCCGTGTATGGATTGCAGCTGGACCCCCAGGTGGTCCGAAACGCACAGGTTCCACTGGGTTTATGAGGTGAGGCTGGTCAGCTCCAATCAGCAACAAGGGTGAGATTTGACTGAAGCCGTGTAGAGGCAAGTCTTGGAGGTGCTTGTACCTTTTCTGAAGGGTAGCCACTGGATAGGTATGTTCAGCTAACCCGAGGCGCTGAGCAGTAAAGGCGTTGTCTATCTGGAAAGACTTCTTTGGTTGCTTTATAGTGGAGACTTGGAAAGAAACTGAGGCACCGTGCAGAGTCTGAATATCCTGACGGATGGTTCTGAGGGCAAGGTCTTCTGGGGTGCCTGTTGTAGGAGTCTGAGTGTGGTCTGAAGCCCACCTCGGCTCCGCGTGTTCGTTTGGTGAGCTGGGTAAAATCTTAAAGGAAGGGATTCAAAAACACCAGGATACAAGTTAAACAATAATCTTTTTAATGATAAAAGGTAACAATACAATACAAAGGAGTACTCCTGCTCTTTTCCCCTCTGGGAATTCTTACTATCTGGACCGCCTGAAGACAAAAAAGAGCGGTCTAAAGACACAACAGGCTTACATGCAAAAACAACGGGGAGGAGTTGTGTCGGATTCTCCTCCCAGAAGAGTAGAGTCCATTCATTGGGTGATATAAAAACTACGAGCTTCCGTAGCGAATCAGCGCGAGCCAGCCGAGGACCCTTAAGTTTGAGGCATAACAATATTACTGCAGCTTTCACACACACACATTCTTCAGAGACTTTCCTCTCTTCGGCCCCCTCCCCCATCAGTTCAATACACACACAGTTTCACATACTTTAGGTATCTTAAAGATATGTTTACAACATAGCTGTTTATAGTTGGCCAATACAAGTAATACATATCAGTTACTTTAATATCACACACATATTTTAGACATGTATTGTTCCAGATATGTTGGAAAGCCTGCTGACTGTTANGACTCCGTCGTCCGGTGATCCAACGGCCTTATGGAAAGGCTTCACATATACATCGGTACGCAAATGCGCTTTGTGACACAAGTGACGGTACGCATTTCAGATTGTTGCCGCGCATGCGTACCTGCGTACCACTTATGTGCACCCCTGCATATATCTGCTTTCCTTTGAACATCTTGTTGTTTCTGTATTTTTTTTAAGCACGGAACCTTTTTAGTTTCAATAATGTTTACAGCAAATGAAATGTTAAGTTTTCATTTAAGGGTTATTGTTGGTGATTGAAGTCATATTATTTGGTCCTTATGGTTCTTGCCCTGCTGATTTTAAAACAAACAATAGACTTAGGATAGACCTGAAGTTAAGGAATACTAGGACCTTGTTGCTTTTTCTCTCTTTTAACTGGTAGTTTAAAAAAAAAAAACACAAGTATGAAAATACAGCAGTAAAAACAAGGCTATGCCCAACCACACAGCAATAAAAAACCCAAACATCAACGGTAATGATCCTTAAGCTTGGGTAAATAGTCCTGTTTTTAGTTTGCTTTTGAATGTGGGCACAGTTGTGGTCGACCTCCAGTTGTAGCATGCATTATCAATTAGGGTGTATAAATGACTATTAACGGTGTGTTCATTGCTGGGTGTGATTTGGATGCTTGCTCCATTAAGCCCACTCTATACTTACCTGGGCAGGTGGTATGTTTCAGGAGGAAATGAGTGGGTCACTTGCTGTGAGGCTGCGGTTTTAATGTTTCTGGTGTTTATTTGCTACAGTTAATTTAGTTTTATTGAAATGGTCCAGTTACATTTTTGTTGTTTCAGTAAACTTTTTGTAAATGAAAGCTTCCTTTTTTGCACTATTCTGCTTTATCAACCTCGTTCTTCTTTTTAAAGCTTTCCGGTGCCTAACAACCATGTAATTTACCCTTTTATATGCACTTGAAGGAAGAGCCATGTTGTAGTTGTGTTTAAAACAAACAGTAATGGAGATTTAAAGGGGACCTATCATGCAAAATGCACTTTTTGATGTATTTTCTACATAAATATGTTTCCCCGGTGTGTCCGGGAACTCACGCATCGTCAGAAAATAAAAACCTCTCTCTTTTCCTCCGTACCCAAATCTCTAAAAACGTGGGTACAACGGAGCTGATCCAGGTTTGCGTCCGATATGACGTAATATCGGAAATGTCGACCCACGGCACTATCAGAAAGTTGCTATCAGAAGCAATGCCTGACTGTTTTGGACGTAGTATGGTCTGTGTTTACATTAGCATCGCTAACACTCAGAGCTAACCTGTACTGGAGAGCATGTGTGTGAAGAAGCAGGAAATAAAAAGGAACTCACCTTGTGGTATAACCGGCAAGAGAGAAAGCCTTTGAGATCCATACTGTTTCAGAAATAATCCTTGATAATCCATGATATGGCGTTTCATCACGGCAGTATTTAGTTTAGACAATAGCTGCTGGGTCCCGCATGAGCTCAGCCCCCTCCTTTTTATTCTTAGCAATTCTTTTTTAAAGCTTTATACCCAAAATCAGCACTTTTGAAACAGGGAGTGAAATAGAGGGATATGAGGCATGGCTAGAATGGGTGATCTGTTTGGTATTTTGAGCAAAACACTTCATAAACATGTTTTGTATATATTTGTATATCTGAGACCTATGCTATTGCCTAAAAATAGCATGATATGTGACCTTTAAGACATGACTCACTTCCATCCAGTGAACTTTATCTATAGCTGATGTATAACAACAGCACATTTCACGCCTAATGCTTCACATGTTTGCCATGACCTTCCTTTAATGCAGGAAGCTCAGCAGTGTGCAGAAGGCCTTTAGATACAGTACGCAGCAAGTAAGAATGTTGCATTGGTCAATTATTGTTACCCATTAGCTTGTGCAGAGATCCTTCATCAAAAAAAAGTTACAGGTTGTTTTTTAAGAAGTTGCCTGCAAGGAGATAGCACTCTATTAACATTTTACGCAGGGGAGCTAATTATTATTTCAGAAACAGGGCTTTTATCCACCAGCCAAAACACAAAGTGATGACATTTAGACAATTACATTCTGTTGCCGCTGGCTCAGGCTAAGAAATATTGTGGGAATTAAAAGTCCATCCCAGATGATAGCCTGCTGTAGGTATAAAGTAATGAAATAATGAGATTTGATATAAAAGATATATCATCCACAACTGTTTTGATTGATTGATTAATTAATAAGTAGCTGCTATCATTTCAATTTATAAAGTGACAGCTTGGGTGGCACCTTCAGCGTTTTTCTTTCTGAAAAGAATTCAGAACACTGTCACAAAGACAGCTTGACAGCCATTCCTACACCCTCCAGAGAGAGACTTGAAACTGTATCAAACATAAAAGAACCAATGTCCTTTTATGATGATTATATGTTTGCATATATTTTAAAAACAACAGTTGATATCTTACTTTGTGTCATGAGATTGAATTGTATTTGTGCTTCTTACACTTTATGGTATCAGTATGGCATTCTTCCATTTGTATTTGTCTTGCATTTATAGTCCAATACAAGGCTTATTACCTACTGGACTCTGTGCGTATGTGCAAGCTTTGCTGAACAGATGGTCTTCACTGATGCTTTGTTTAACTGATTTGGTATCTTCAAATTGTTGGGAGACAGTTTGAAACATGCCTACATTTCACTGATTTCCTCATGCATGATTGCACATTTAGTCATACACACAAAAAGCCAGACACAAACACTGATGCACCTTTTTATATATAACATATTAGTTTTTGTTGTAAATGTTTCCTGTTTGAGTTTTTAACTTGGGGTTCACGTAATGTTGGTTCTAAAGAAGTCACCAACAAATAAGACAAAGTGAAAAAAATATATGTTTTCTGTCTCTGTTTCTTCTTCTCTCCTGTCTGCTCCTCCCTTCCCCATCTTCAGATTGTTCCAACATTTCCCTTCACCTTTTTCTGTTCTTTAGAAAACCTCATTTTAAGTTTAGAGTGCATGTGTGCAATTCTGTGTTTGTGTGTGCGTGTGATTTAGTTATTTTTAGTAGCCAACCCTGGAAAAAAATTCTATAAATAATTCTGTTGTTAATGTTTATAATCTTTGATGATGGGATGGACGGTTTCATAGTTATTTTTTTTAATGACTTGTCCACTGGTGCTGACTATTGTGGTGCACAGTTAAAGTTGAAATTCTACCTGCCACAATTGTACTTGATTGTTTTTTCTCCTCTGTTTTCAAATGGCTAGTGTTCTTTCATTACACTGGTATTTGCTCAGTGATCTTCATAATACAGACTATAGTATACACTCTTGTTCACCAGATAGGACAAA